CTTCTAGCATGACCGGAGCTGCTACTACCGTGAAACCCTCCCGCGTCTTGGAATTAGGTTTGCCCGCAGACAGACACCGAGATATGGTGGATATGCTGTACTGTCCACGATCCTGAGCCTCGTATAGTAACTTATAGTAGTCGCCAAGTCGCGCGAGAAGTTGCCCAAATTCAGAGACGGGATATGTGCACGTTTCCTTTAGAGGAAGATGATGATTGATGCAAATACCAGAATTTCTCCCATGGAGCCTCGAATCGAGCTGCAGAAATCATCGTCACGTTGAGCAGGAACTCTGGCATGCAGGCAACGAGCGATAAAGAGCCTGACGGGATGATTGGTCGGGCCTGACGCATCTTAAAGTCAATCCACTAAGATGAACGGGGGGAGCTGGATACTAGACAGAGTTAATTATTGGTAGCCAGAAATTAGGGATCCAGAAGTTTTATTTCTCCGCTGTTGCCAGCAAGGCGTGCATGCCCTGCCTGCCTAGTGCTGGCAAACAAAGTTCTAAACTAAATAGCAACTAACTTATCTACTACAATCACAGTCCGTCCACCCCCATAGCACAACGCTGTGGTCCATCTCTATATCCAGTCTAGCTACCATCCCACCCCCCCCGCCGTGCTGTAACTAACTCAAGGCTTTGTGACACGATAACTCGTAGGCAAGGCATTATTGTACCCGAAAACATTCTTGGGATCCCATTGCTTCTTCAGCGCCGCCAGCCGCGGCAATTTGTTCCGCCCGTAGATCTGCTCCAGCGTCTCGTCGCCGTGGGCATAGTTGACGTAGATTGAGAGGTCGGGGTAGCCCGAGGTCTGGACCCAGCGCTGGCGGAGCCGCAGCGCCAGCGAGTCGCCGGCTTGCTGCGTCGCGGCGCTGGCGCCTTCGTCGGGGATGATTCCTACTTGGCTGCAGATACGAAAAGCAAATTAGCTGGGTTTCCGTGGGTGAAAGCGGGAAAGCGTGCTGCCGGCTTACATGAAGCCTATCGCGTCCCGCCAGGGATAGGCGGTGGCATGGTCCGGCACGGCGACGGTGGCTTGGTTCGGGAAGGTCTCGATGTTGATGTACGTGGACGGGGCGTCGGGGTAGCCCGCGTAGAACTCCGCCATCTGGTCGAAGGTGTCCTGGAAGATGGCCGCGGTGAATTTGCGCAGGTTCACGGTGTAGAAGTTCCGGTTGGCGCCCTTCTGGCACAGCGCGTCGTTGAAACCGGCGCCGCCGGCGGTGGCGAGCAGCTTGTTCCACGGCACGTAGGTCAGGGTCGACGAGGCGGGGTGCAGCGCGAGGATCGGGGCCAGGAACTGCCGGGCCTCGGCCTCGGGGCCGATATAAATCCAATTCGCGTGGACTTGAGGCTGTGGGGATGGTTAGTAGTCACGGAAATGGACCAAGCTAGGCAGGGGAGGGGGGGGCGGTTGGGGACGGCACCTCCTGAGTGGTGGTGTTATAGTTCACCAGCGTGATGGCGGCCACGTGGGCGGGCATGCGTCCGCTCCACGTGGCCAGGTACCGGAAGTACGCCTCGGTGTGGTTGATGGGGAAGATGAAGTCAGCATTCATGATCATGCCGTCGTTGTGGTCCGACATCCGGTGCAGCTTGTAGGTGGCGGACGTGATGACCCCCAGGTTCGCGCCGGCGCCTCGCAGCCCCCAGAAGAGATCGGGATTCTTGGTGGCAGAGACCTCGACCAGTCTGCCGTCCGCCGTCACCATCCGAGCGGAGAGCAGGCCGTCCATCACCAGGCCAAAATAGCCCATGTACCGTCCGACCCCCGCGCCCACCGTCAGACCGACGTATCCGGGACATGAGCCTGAGCCGCTTTCTGTCCATCCGGAGGGAGTCAGTCTCCCCCTATCACAAAAGGCATGGCCTCACAACTTACGAATCATGAATCCTGCCGCAGCGAGCGGTTCCAGCAGGTCCCCGATTGTGGTGGACCCGCCTATGGTGACTGTTTCGGCGGTCGAGTCAATATGGTAGGAATCGAGCTGGCCAAGGTCGATTGCTAGTCCTTGATCCAGCTCCCCCAATGTGACTGTGAATCCATGGCGGCCGCCAGTGGTCAGGAAAGAGATGTTTGAGGAGGTTGCTAGTTTGATCTGCAGGAGTCGCGATCAGCACGACTGACTCGTTCTGGGGAGCGAGGGCTTCCATACAGCGGTGACCACGTCCTGTTCGGTAGCTGGACTGACCGCAGCAAAATAGCTGGGCGCCGCCCAGGTGGTCCAGCGCTCGGTGGCATTCTCGAAGTAGGCATTCTCGGGAAATGACACCACGGTGCCGTGAGACCACAGGTTGGTTTTATTCGCAAGGAGCGTCGGGAAATCAATGGGGGCTTGAGGAGCGGCATAGATTGCCGACAGCAGCCCTATCCAGGGCCAAATCGTACGGAACATGATGATATGAAAACAGTCTATGGAGAGCTGGAGTAAACCTTTGCGCGCCTTTTGTTCGCCATGTCGAAGGCCTCCTTCCTACGGGTCCTTTTATAGCCTACAGACGACCATACTTGACTCACTTGAATCCGATGCCAGCTTCAATCTCTTCTTCAGCCCCCAAACCAAAAGCTTTGCGCATACGTATCAGCCGGCGACCTCGTAATCTCATAAACTAGTTTCTACCATCTCTGAAGCCAATTGGGATCCCTCGGGTGCTTCGTGGAAGCCTAGAGACACGGTCAGAGAAAGCGATTCGGATCCTTCGGAGGCCTGTTCCACTCGCACTGCTGCTTTGCGGGCCTGAAGGCTCAAAGGATTTCTCGTCTGACACAATTGGGGATGGTAAGACCTAGCAATAGCGGGAGAGTGTTCGTGAACAGCATCGCTTCTGCTTAGTAGTTGATGCTGATCGGAAGTGTGGCTGATGTGGCGGGTGATGTAGGGCTTATAAATATACCGGCCTAATTAGCTGACTAATTAGGGAGCTTTTCGTCCATCGTGCCCTGCAAATTGGCATAATTAATGACACGTCCGACGGTCACTACATAGCCATCAAGTTGGATTTATAATATCCAACAAATTAGGGTGTAGCGAACGAAATAATCAACCGATCCACCGGCCACCATGCATGCATGCATACATGCACAGTGACGAACAAAACCCTTCTTAGCTCCGAGGCACTTGTTTGTATCTTTCGTATACCTTGCGGTCTCCCAGGATCTCTAATTATAAATTATAATTATAAAGCTATCGGCCCAGAACTAGTTTCTCTCTCGATGGTTTTGGACCCTTGTTACTCACCTGAACCACCAGTACCGCTCACCACCACTACCACCACCACCACCACCACCACCATCACCATCACCGTCCCAACCATGGCCGTCACTTTCGACATCACCCCCGAACGGGAAGCGAGCAAGCTCCACTTCCTCTACCGACAATTCTTCCTCGCCGCGCCGGCAGTCAGCCCCAAGGAGGTCGACCTGACGGGCAAAGTGGCCATTGTGACGGGCGCGACGGTCGGGCTGGGCCTGGAGACGGCACGCCAGCTCCTGGACCTAAACTGCCAGCTCATCCTGGCCGTGCGCGACGTCAAGCGAGGCGAGCAGGCGCGCCGCAATCTTCTCGAGGGGCGATCCCCCCCGCTGCCCGCTGAGCAGATCGCCGTGTGGCCACTAGACCTGGCCTCGTACGAGTCGATCCGCGCCTTCGCGGCGCGCACGCAGAGCCTGCCGCACCTGGACATGGCCGTGCTCAACGCCGGGGTGTACAAGGTGGACGAGCAGTTCGACCCGACCACGGGCTACGAGGAAGGGGTGCAGATCAACTACCTGGCCAACGTGCTGCTGCTGGTGCTGCTGCTGCCGGTGCTGTACGCCAAACGCCGCGGACCCCAGCAGCCCGGCCGACTCGTGCTGGTCAACTCGGACACCGCGGCGTGGAGTGCCTTCCGGGAGCGCAGCGCGCGGCCCCTGCTGCCTGCCTTCCAGCGCCCGATGCAGCCCGCCTGGAACATGCAGGAGCGCTACGGGGTGTCCAAGCTGCTGGGCCAGTTTTTCCTGGTCGAGCTGGCCCAGCGCGTGCCCCCGTCCGCCGTCACGGTCACCAGCGCCAACTGCGGCATGTGCTACGGGTCGGCCATCGGGCGCGAGGGCGCCGGCCGCGTCGAGGGCTACGCCTGGGCCGTCATCTCGCGCATCCTGGGGCGCTCGTGCGCGGTCGGCGCCCGCACCTTTGTTCATGCGGCGGCATGCTTCGGCCAGGAGGTCCATGGCCAATATCTCGAGGATGCCCGGTTGCGGCCCCTCGCCCCGATCGTCTACCAGTCGGAGGGCTTGAGGATTGCGAAACTGCTGTGGGAGGAGACGATGGAGGAGCTGTCGTTTGCGGGCGTGCGGGAGATCGTGGAGGAGATGGCCAAGTTGAAGTAGTAGTAGTTGTATTTATTCTGATCAACATGCATGCCCTGACGCCCAATCTTCTGTTGCGAATAGTCTCATCAACGTATAAGATACAGTCCTTCAGATCCGTTTCTTGTTACTGTCTCCTTGCCCCACCACCGCCCCCTTCACGCCCCTACTATCACCACCGCTCCTCCGACTATACTCCGGATAACTCGGCTGATACCTACTCCCCAACCCCGCGAACAAGAGTCAGCAAGAAATTCATCTCCTGAATGCAGACACGCGAACGGACGCTCTTACCCCAACAACCCCTCCGCAACCCAATACGCCAACACATACGCCACCGCGTGCAGAATCCAGATCGGCACCCAGAACGGCAGACAGGGCACGGTGGCACTGTTCATCCCGAACAGGATGATCTGCAGCGGCGACGGCGCGAGCCCATGCCGCTGGCAGTCGCGCAGGTAGCCCACGAAATTCCGCAGGAAGTTCTCGTCGAAGCTGTGGTCCAGGTCCTGGGGGTCGGCCCAGACGCGGAAGATGACGTCTTCGGTGCTGGTGGCGTGGACGAAGAAGCGGTGGCTGTATTGTCGCATGATTAGCATAACACGTCTACCGAAGAAGAAGAAGAAGAAGAAGAAGAAGAAGAAGAAG